TATTTCCCAAGTTTCCATCCAACTCCTCGCCGCGATCATTCCGACCCCGTCTGTCGAACCTATCGCCTCTATTTCTCATCCTTTCCATCTTAACACCGTGAAATTCATCTTCGTCCATGTCACTCTCATATCCATACTCCTCTCGCCTTTCTCTCCTAGACTCCCATCTATCCGGTCCTCTGGCATTGAATACATCCACTCGATGCCCTCGACTAATCTTAGCCACCGATGTATCTAATCTATTCGTCCAAACCTCCTGCTTCTCCAACCTATCTCTCACATCTCCAAACGCCCTCTTAAACCTTTGCACTAAATCCTCCATTGCATTGTTATTATTGCCTTGTCGGCTTGAATTTGATTTTGCCCTTTCTGACATCCTAACACTAAAATTTTATTTTACTGTCTCACCAAAAGTCACTCGGAACACACACAAGGCTTTTACCCTTTTTTAAGCTCACCTCTCTGCCTTTTACCACTCAATTCTTTCAACAATTGCTTCTAGGAATAATCAATGAACTCAATCAATCAATCAATTCATGTAGAATTTCCCAAACCGGATGTGACTCAATAATTGTAACAAAGGACTCAAAGAAAACTTTTAAAACTTGATTTGAATGAAGGAATGGAATGATTCAATGTGTCCAAGTAATTTAAAAACGATAATGAATAATAATAGTTGGTATTTGACGGATCAATAATTATTTAACAAGTTTTTTTTAACTGTACGGATGAACAGTACCGTACGGATGAACAGTAATTTTTTTTAGATCCGAAAATCAACAACAAAACCAACAAAGAAAACGAAAACTGGCTCAAAAACGGAATTTGAAGGTTTTTTATGAAACTTTTGGATCAAGGATCAAGAAAAACCTTTTGAACACAAGAACACAAGAAATTGAAAAAACTTAGAAAACAAAGGATATAACTTGATTAAATTGGAGCCAAAACTCTGATACCAACTGATGCGAACCCCGTAGCAATGAAAACTACGAAACCCACAACAAGATTGATGCGGAACCCAAGAACGTCAATACTAACCCGGTTTTGGATCTTGAACCCCAAGAATTGAACCAAGAAACCCTAGATTAGCGAAGAACCTAAAATCCCTTGATTACAATTGAAAGAACCCACAATCCGATTGATAGAACACCACAAGAAGTTGAATCTTGATAAGTTCCAAGATTGTTCAAGAAGAACAATTAAATTGAAAGAATAATTCTCTCTCTATATTATTAAGCAATGTCAAAAGTTCAAAAGTTTTTACAATGAAAAGGTATTCTCCTATTATACTAATGAATAAAAACGTTCAAAGCCATCAAATTATGGTAATAATTTGATTCCATAAGAATTCTATCGAAACTAGGAAATTCGGCCAAAAATAGAAAAATCGCTAATTTTTTTGGCCCATGCGGCCGCATGGTGTAAATCCATGCGGTCGCATGGTTTAACTTGAGCTGGTCTTTTGGTTTTCGGTATCATGCTGTGCAGTCGCATGTAATTTTGCCTGTGCGGCCGCATTGTCTTGATTTTCTGCCTCCGCTTTAGTCGCTTGATAACAAATTGATCCAAGTCGATTCGGCCTTCGATCCGAACATGAAAGTTGCTCCATTTTGAGTCCCGAACATGGTTCCATCCATGGTTTCTTGAATGAGCAATCCCATCGCTTGTTTCACTTGCTTTGCTCTTGATCGCGTCATTGGTCCGCCATCAACTATCAACAGGTCTCGTCTCTCACTTGCCTTCGTTGGGCTCGACTCTTGGATCATATCACAAATTGATACCAAAATCAAAGCTTTTAGGTTTTGTATTTTTTTACACTACCTATAAATTGTGAAAAACAAAAAATTATATATAAAAAATTGATTATATTCGAGGTACCTACGATTCTGGTCCAATTGTCCAGGAATAAAAAATGATTTGACCCCTCACAGTTCTTGATTTTCAGTTTTAATTCCTATTTTTTTTGGTGGGAATTAGAGCGAACCTCCGGCTCCGGTAGGGGTGTAAATGAGCCGAAACTCCCGGCTCGTGCTCGGCTCGAGCTTTTTCAATACGGGCTTTTTTTGGCCCGATCCGAGCTGAGCCGAGTTGGCTCGACTCAAAAAAATAAAGCTCGACCCGAGCTTTTGGCTCGGGCATTACCGAGCCGAGCCGGGTCGTGTTTTCGTAATTTTTTTTCTTTTTTTTTAAAATTTTTTTTTCTCTTAATTGCTGCCCAACAGGCAGCTTTATAATTAAAGCTGCCTGTTGCAGCTACAAAATGCTGCCGAACTGGCAGCAAATCTGCTGCCAGTTTGGCAGCAAATCTGTTGCCTGTTGGCAGCAGGTTAACTGCTGCCAACAGGCAGTTATAAAGCTGCTGCCTCAACAGCTAACTGTTGATAGCACAATATAGGCATGCTAGCCTTTTTTTTATTTTTTTAAAATTAAACGGGCCGGCTCGGCTCGGGCGGATGCCCTATTATGGGGCTTGGCCCGAGCTTTGGCTCGATTGGTCCGAGCCACGGGCCGCCCGAGCCGCCGAGCCTTTTTGACATCCCTAGGCTCCGGTTTGATTTTGGTTTGGGAGCTTAGGTTTCAGCTAAAGTGCCCAAGCCTAGTAATGCATAGAGGTAATTATTACTTTCTTTCAACAATATTCTGAGTAAAATAGCAAAATTTACATGTATTTAACTTAATTAAATTAAAAATCAGCTATTAAAAGGACGTGGATGGGCAAAGTCCCCTCAAAAAGGAAACAATGACGAAAAAAGGAAAAAAAAAGAAAAAAATCACCACACTAATTGCGGCCAATTAGAAGCCAAAAGGATGTAAGAAAAATGGCTTGGAGCCCCGAAAGAAGAAAAGGATTCACAACTTAACTAATGATTCCATTTTGTAATAAGTTCGAATTCAACTTGATCTGCTTGAAGATAAATGGAGTCAACAATAAAAACAAAAGCGGGAGCAACAAAATAATATAATAAGAAAAACCTGGAAATAACCCCCAAAATTTCATCGATGGTTGTAACACTTGTGAAAGATGGACTGTTGAACAATTAATTGGAATCTATTTCAAAGCTTGATTTTCTTTTGTTCCAACAAGAAAGAAAACAAAATGTCTCATGCATCTAGTTAGAAAATTCCCTTCTTTGCCTCTGGAATTTTCCAATTTTATTTCCAAAATTTAATGATAGTTCGGATCAAAATTAAGTTAGTCAGAGTATAAATTTAGTGCTCAATTTTCAATTTTTTTTGTTGCATTTTAAAAAACAAACGCGCAAACAAAATCTCAAGTACTATGATAAGTGAGCGAATTTATTTTTAGGACATTATGTAATACACAAGTCTTGGTTTGCAATTTTGTTCTCTCTTATGGCTCTTCTTTGGTTGTTTTGTTTCATCCAATTATTATCCATTATAATATATTTATTCTGCTTGAGATTGTACTTAAAAACACCGAAATAATAATAATAATAGGTCCAAATTATAATTAGCAATTTTTAAATTTGTAATTGACAATTTTCATAGTCAAAATCAAGTCCTAGTTTAATTGTATTGGGAGTTCATCAAATTATAATCAAGGTCAAAGTAGGAGTTATTGAGTTTTAATTATAGTAAAAAATAGCTTTTGACAGAGTTTCAAAAAATGTCAAAGAAATACAAAGAGATCAAAATTCGAACTTCAAAAAGTAAAGCAAGAAATGGACTCAGCACCGCTCGTTGGACGCTCTGTTACTCAAAATAGGGTCATTGATGCTTGCTCGTCAACCCAGCGCTTGAGCGGCAGTGACCTCCGACAAGAAACATGATTCTATTTTAATGCTGATTTTGAAATCATTTTCACTTCAAACACTAACTAAGAGGTGTTGAGTCATTATATTACATTAGAGATCATATAATTAAAGATCCAAACACACATTCATTCTTGATTCAACATAAGATCAAAATATTCTTATATTCATATATTGATTCATCTTTAAAAGAATTTTTAAACTATTTAATCAACATGTCGTGTAGGCATTTTTATGAAAAAATAGAGTATCGGACACACATGTCCATGCCGATGAATCATATTACTCTATCAAGTAGCTTATTATATGGATATGATATGAATAAGTGGCATTCTGCTGAATAAAAATAGAAAACCATCTTTTTACCAACCATCATAACCAGTCAATCCTCGAACTTTTTTATTTTTTACCATAGAGGTTTTTTAAGTTTGTTATTATAATAGACGTCTAGCTATGGTCAAATCAACAAAATAAAAGTAAAAACTAAAGACTAGGTTACATGACCTTTTTTTCCTTGTTTCTTTTTACACTACAGACGTTTTGAGCATTCAAACTGTATTTTTGCCTTTTCATTGATCAAAAGGGAGCTGTTGTATCCTTTCATGATGATTGAGCTGCAATAAAACTATTACAGACGCCCCCTCCAATGCAAAGAAGAATTTGCGATTTACCTGATTAGCGTGATTTGCAGGTTATTGTGTTAGTCCAAGGGTTTACCTAGTACGCACCCGAAAGGTAACGGCTGCGGGTTACCCCGCCATTTGAAAAAAAAAAAAAAAAGGAATTTGCAGATTACACATTTAACGAGTATATAGCAATGTAAGTAAGCAATTTTTCCTAGTAAAGGAGGTTAGTTCACTAGATATGTCACATATATAAAAATACCATGTGCATTCTGTGTAAGTTATATACATAACAGAAAGTCAGCAACTATCACTAATTAAGTCAATCTTTATTATAATTAAGAAAGTTCAGGGCCCAAACCCTACCAACTTTGACCTTTTACAGCAGCGACAACCAACGATTAGCACACAAGTTCTACAGGATTAGATTTAAAAAATGGCAGGTGAGGCATGACTGCGTAGGCAACAATACCTACAGAAATAGAGTCAATTTTGAAGAAAATAATAGCTGTGAAAGTAATAATTTTAGTTCAAACTTCATTTCTAGCAGATTCAGTTTTAACAATTGACAAGCACTTAATCATCAAGAGCTTAACAGATAAACTCAACAGAAGACAACTTCAGATTTAACATTTAACAATGGAACCAAGCTTGAGTCATTTATACTCTTCCATCAATTGCATACAAGAGAAGTTCAATGCAACCCTAAAAAACTACAGGTGCTGGTCAGATATATAGATTATAACTTCATCAACTAATCAATTATTTATTTTTATTTTTTTGCAACTACTAAAGTAACACTCAGAAAATGATTCAAAAAAATAGAAAAAAGAAAAAAAAAGCTAATTTGAATGATAACTGTCGCTCACCACCATTTAAGAGCTGTCAAAAACATCCACTCTGAAACCAAGGCAAATCCCCCTAGCTTGAAACCCTTACTTCTTCACTAATCTTCGCTTCCCCTTCTCTCTTCATAATCACTAGAATCTCCGAATCCCAACTTCCGACTGCCATGCCCACCTTCTTTTCCTCATCCTCGCCAGCAACAGTCAATTGTGCCGTCCCATTATACAAAACGCCGCCGTCGTCGCCGCCACCACTACACACAGCCTCTCTAGCCTCCTTCCACCACCTACACAAACCAAAATAAAAAAATTAACAAATACCCCCAATTAATTTTTAGGGTAAAAAAGTTAACCTGAAGGAGACTAAGACGAGGGGTTCAGTGGAATTGGACAAAGATGGTTGCTGAAGGGGGGAGAAGGAGTGATCGAAGAGGGCAAAAACGTCGTCGGCATCTTCGGATGGAGAGGGAAAGAGTAGAGAGTCCACGAAACGGATGGATTTGAAAAGTAAACGTCGAAGGAAGGAAGATAATAAACGAATAGATTCGTTAAAGAAAAAACGGAGGGGAAAAGTCAAGAGTTCGGCTATGGTGTGTCGTATCAGGTTGAGGCCCTTGTTCATCTGTACAAAGAAAAGTTGGGAACGAAAGCCAATTATTGTTTTAAATTAATAAAAAATCTTAAAAAGTGAGTTTTTTTTATCATTTTTTGGAGCAAATAAACTATTAATACTTTACCTTTTTAAATTGTCGAACAATTATAATTAAACGAAAATGATCTTGTAAGAATGGATGCTTAATTTATGTTAAGCTCCGATAACATGATAGGTCATTTAATTGGTGAATAAATTAATGATAGGTCTCATGTATTTAATGATTTATCAATTAAATTGCTTGACATGTCACCGGTGCTTAAAAGATCATTTTCGTATAATTAAATATATTATGTGTTCGGTAAAATTGAAAAACTAATTATGAAAATATATGTATTAGAGTAACATTAACTTGTTGCTACACAATTTTAATTAATATTTTTATTTACTTGAATGACCCTAAGTAAAATTACTTAATTAACCATACTTTTAAACATATATTTTAACATTAAATAATTTTTATAAACACCACAATCATTAACTAACTTATTCATTATTTCCTTTGAGGATGTGGGGCAAGGTGAAAATTATTTTACCCTTCAATATCCCCCTTTCATTTAACAGCTATTTCTTATAAGAGTGATGCTTGGCAGAAGGCAGAGCACAAATGGATCGTGGCAATGCTTTGGTTTGTGAAAATTTGATGAAAAGTAAAGAGCTAAATTAAGGTTTGTACAATAAATTTACTAGAGATGCATATCAAATCGCCATTTTAGGTTCTTATGAGAAAGAAAAAATCGCCATTTTAGGTTCTTATGAGAAAGAAAATTGAGTCTTCAAATTATTGCAAATTGAGTCTTTAGTAATAACAGAATTATCGTTCAAATTATTGCTCTCCTACTAAGATGAATTAGCCCTAAAATTATTATTGAAAACAAGAAGCTTTAAATCTACACCCTTCCATTCAAATTCAAAGGATAGGGGCATTCCCTTCATCTAATAATCAAACCCAAAAAATCAAATCCTCCCTCGAGCTTTGAAATGCAAAAGAAAAGTCATTGGATCTAGAAAGTCAAGAATATGTATACACGCACGTATGTATCTATTTTTTGTAGTTAATCCAAAGAAAATGTAAGCTTTGCAGTATATAATGGGTATGGAAGAAAAATGGGTTAGGTTTTTTTCACTTCTTTTCTTGTCACATATAAGTCGTTTTAGACTAGTACTTCTTTGCCATGATACACAAAAAAGCACAGACTGGAAACTGGAAGGAAATGCCAGGCAGAAAAGAAAAGGTGAAGTTTAGAAAATATATTTTTATTAAATTAGGTATATAATTGTAAATTGTTGTGGAGTATTTATTAAAAATATGTTTTAATTGTGGTGTGGAATAATGTGGTGTATTTAGTAAATTTTGTGATGGTAATATAATTACCCTTTGTATTATTATCAACTTTTTTTCTTTAATTATTAATTAATTGAAATAAAAATTTAACCTTGTAAATAAATTTTTAATTTCTTTTATGCCTAAATTCATAGGGATTCTAACTTCACAGATTTTGAGATCAATAGAGCTCCAAATATAGGAAAATTTTAACAGAATCGATATCGATGTTGATGTGGCCAAGCCTGATCGACATTTTTTTTATGTTTTCCCATCTTCAATGATGCCGCTCCAAGTGTCTTTTGTCAAAAAAAATTTGTACCTATAGCATTATTATTTTGAGATTTACTGGTGATGGGTAAGTGTAATAATTTGAAAGCCACTATTTGGTGACGTTATTTTATTAAAACTTGAAATTTCATTTTAAAATGTCAATCTCATTAAGAAGAAAAATCTAAACTCTTATAAATTGATCTATACTTTTATTTTTATTCTATATGGAATTTTATCACTTAAAATGTCCGCACAAGATGCTAGCTCGTTTGAGTAAATCAATATTTAAATTCATGTGCTTGTATTTTGAGTTTTAATCGGATCGAATTACTCGTTAAAACTTAATGAGCTCCAATATCGTATTATGACTTTCGATTGCATCTTAAAAGATCAACCATAATAAAAGGAGTAATTCAATCCTTATAAATTAATATATATTTTTATCTTTTTTCGATGTCGACTTTTATCCCTGAACATCTTTTTCCCAAAAAGAACTGATTTTTAGCTGTGGGAATGTGAGTTCATTTTAATTTTTTAATGCAATGTTGTGGGCTTTCTCTAGTTAGAGAAAGCAAGAGTCAAATTTATTGCCTTTTATGTTGAAGTTCAGGTTGTCCTCCGTTCGACCGTGCGTGAACAGGGGTTGATTTGGCGCATTTATTTGGAAGGGGCATTTCGATATATCCTTCGAACATGTTTGTAGAAGGTAAAATTGAGAAATCAAAAGAAATGAATGGCAACCTACTCAAAGTTTCAAACAATTTTTTGTAGGCATTCATTTCTTAAATTCCAAACGCCAGACATCAGATCTAGCAAAATTTGATATTTTCTCTAAAATAGTTGAATCAAACTAGGATTGGCAACGGTTCGAATATGGATCGGTTCGACCAAAACCATAACTGCACCACCAATTTTTTAACCATACCATAACCGCACCATAACCACGTAAATCGGTTCGGTTCGTATCTCCGTTCGACACGATTTGGTTTGGTTAATAACCACGAAAATAAATTATTTTTTATAGGTTCATCCGTCAAATTGATATAAATCAATTTATAAAAAAAAGTTAATAAAAACAAAAACATAATATTCCAAACAAAAATGCAAACATTATCCCAATTTTCAATTGCAAAATACAAATTTAACAAACAATATTATAAATAAAATAATACTAAACTTTTCCTTCATTCTTAATTGTTGTGCATCTAAGTTACTTGATTCATTCTTCCCTATAAGTCTTACAAATATAGATCATCATTCAAAGTTGATTCCTATATAGTAAATAAGAAATGTAAGTAGAGAATATAACGATACTACCTATTCCAGAATGGTCTTAACTAAGATTTAAATTTAAAAAAAAAATGTATCTCTTTGTCAGCTTCCTTTTCGCTAAACGTTTCACAACCTCTATAGTATGACGAAGGAATAGAATTTTATACACACAATAGAAAAAATTAACAATAAAAGAAAGTGTATAAATAACAAATATAAAACAATAAATCTTACCATGAATATCAGTCCAAAGACATTCCCAAGCACACATGAAAGCTTCTAAAGTCTTTGGGTGAAGCCTATCTCTACATGGACTCACAAATCTACCACTTGTACTAAACGTTGACTCGGATGCCACAGTAGATACTGAAATGGCTAATAAATCTCTTGCAACCTTCTGTAAAGTCGGATATTTTATTGAATTTGCTTTCTACCATATCAATAAATTAAAACCATCCATCCTTGGCAATACTGGCACGTCTAGAAAAATATCGAACTCTGTTTTTACATGATCAACAGTAACAAAATGGCTAACAAATGTAACAAATTTTCGGAGGTGATGACGACTTGGACCGTAGAGGCAGTAGAAACGTACGTAAGTTTGTGGTTTGTGGAGAGTATGGTTTGCATTTATATACTGTCATACTAATGCTATTATTATGGGCTAATGGTACGTGGGCTGACCGGCTGAGTCAGGTGGATGTAATGGGGAGATTTTGTTTTGGTCTAGCTAGAAAAGTAGTGTAATGCTCAATAATCAATTCAATTGTGTGTGTGTTTTTTAAGCGGGTAATCGGTTCGATTTCGGTTTGACGGCATAAATACCATACCCGCACGGCCGCACCACCACAAATTAGTTCATTAAAATCAAAATCATATCCGCCCCATTGTACCGTCGGTTCGATTTTTTCGCCCCATTTGATTAATTGCGATTTTCGATTTTGACGGTTCAAATTGCCATCTCTAAATCAAACAAGGGCTTTATATCATTTTGTAGTTTAATTTAAAATTCGATTTTTAGAATATTTTAATAAAAGAATATGAAATTGTGGCTAAAGATTGATAAAAGTTGTGTATCGTGAATTTTGTTGTAAAATATGGGTTTTAGAAAATGGGTCTCCAACATGGATATAATTAACATGAGATGTAGATTTTTTTTTTCATGTGTGTAGAAATAAAGATAGGAGAGAGAGAAGAATATATATTTACAGGTGTGAAATTTTGCATCAACTCAATCTGAGGGAGTTGAGGTTGAGATAAGACTCTTAAAATTATTGAACAATTATACATAATAAGTGTTTGGTAAACTTGAAAAATTAATTGTGAAAGAATTTATATTGTTATCAACTTCTTTTTATTAATTACTCATTATTAAAATAAAAATTTAACCTTATCAATAAAAAAAAAATATTTTTTTATGTAGTGTTCTAAATTTATACTTATTGAGATTTACTGGTAGCGATAAGTGCAACGCTTTTTAAATGTTACCGATTGGTTTAGCTAAAAATTCAATTTTTAATAGATTTTGATAAAAAAAAAAAAATTAAATACGTGGATAGATAAAAAGTTGTG